AGGAGAGCTTGAAAGGGAAAAATAAATTTATATTTTCACTAATGTCTAATTGAAATTTATCATTTCTTTCCATTAGAAAAATAGTCAGAAAACCATAGTAGTATTAGTACCTGTGTCTATAATCACTAAGGATCAATTCATGTTATAGTTACCTTAAATTATTATGATTTATGTGTAGCACTATTTTGAATTTAAGCTAATAATTAATCATAATCCAGAATGACAAAGAGACTGAAGGCACACTCCCTTTGAGTAACTGGCTAGAGTAGTCCAAGAGACTCCCAAAATTACATAGCCTATTGCCATAGCACATGATTGCCTCTCAGAACTTGAAGGTAAGACCCTACTGCTGAAGACAAGACATACTTCGGACACACGACTTGGAGCAATGGAGCTGGAGCTGACCCGGAAGCCACCTCCGTGCTAGCTCTCATAGTTTGAGAGAACGCCATGTAAATTGCTAAGGGAGAACATCAGTCAAAGGTCTAACCCCAGCTTAACAGCCTAGTAACAACAACAATGACTGGTACAGCAAACTATATTGGGGTTGTAGTCCACTTTTATCTTGAGGGTAATCAATAGCTACCTAATTGGACCTAAAGCCCACCCAATGGGAGGAAACTCATGTATGGCACTGTAAACATAACCAAATATGCACGGCTAGAGAGGTCATAGATCTTAGAGAAAGCCCCAAGGCTGTTACATCCCTAGACAAATACAATTTCTTTTTATGTGATAAATATGGATCCTTATAGACAAGTATGTAAGTCACCGCTCATCAAAGAAACATCTTTTGCAACATACAGAGACTATTACAGAGTTCCACAGCTGATCACACACAGAGATTAAGTGTCTATGAAATGCCCAGCCCTAAGTGACACATCTTCAATGTGAAGATGGAACAATGTGAAGAGGTTCAATGGAACCTCTACAGCTAAGACTCATGGAACATAGTGGAACAAAGGGTAGAGAGAATACTAAGGTATCTCTCAGCTCTCATCAATTTAGCTCCCTCATGCAACAGGGACAATGAGCCTAGCTCTCAGAGACCATGGCAGAAGAGGAGGAAGGAAGATGGTAAGAGCCAAGAGAGGGGGCACATGACCATATGGAAATAAAGTCTTACAGGCTCCTGGGAACTTGCACATAAGAGCTTGCAGCAACAGTGACAGTATGCACCCACGCTGCAAGACCCATGCAAACCCAAGCAGACAAAAATCTAGCATAGAGCTGTGGAAACAGGCAGCTGCCCCATCTTAGCCAAACAACTGGGCAGCTGATTACTACTGGTTAGGAAAAACTGATCTTTAAGGGAATGACTCTAGATAGGCTGACTAGAACCCAGTGGATGAACTTGCACTGAGGGACGTCAGGGGACACTAACTTGACTCTATAGGCCTTAACATAGATGATGGAATACATGAAATCCAGTGGGGTGGAGCTATGGGAAGGTGATGAGGGGGAAGAGGGTATAAAGACTAAGATATTGTCTATAAAATACACAAAACTCAATATAAATATATTTATTAAAATTTCTTTTTTTATTTTATGTGTACAAGTGTTTGCCTTACATGTACATAACTGTACCACATACCTGCAATACCCATGGTGGCCAGAAGAGGGTGTCAGATCCCCTAGAATTACAGTTATAGAAGGTTGTTAGCTATCTTGCGGGTTCTAGGAATGGAACCCAGGTTCCAGTTAATGCTCTTTTTTTTTTTTTTTAAATAGATAATTTATTGAGAATTTCATACATTCATATAAGGTGTTTGATCACCAGTCAATGCTCTTAACTGATAAGCCATCTCTCCAGCCCTGTGACCTTTTTTTTTTCAAAGTTTAAAACATTTTTTATGTATGAGTGTTTTTCTTTCATGTGTATATGTACCACCACATATATGCAGTCACTGGAGAGGCTGGGTAGCAGAAGGCATTTGAACTCCTGTAACTGAAGTTACAGAGGGTTGTAAGCTGTCATATGAAGGCTGGGAACTGAATTCAGGAGCTCTGAAAGAGAAGCAAGTGTTCTTAACTGCTTAGCCACCTCTCAAATCCCACAGACCTTCTAAATCCCATGGCCTCCACAGGCAAGTTAATGGAAATAGCTTTTTTTCCTCCCCATCAAAGTCCTTTGAGGGTCAGAGCTGCTGTGTTTGACGCCCCTTAAGTCACAGTAAATCATTCACCCCTGGACTCACAGCAGAGTTCTTTAAATCTGAGGGAAAGGGCCACAAAGCCCTCACTGTTCCCCACCATGCTGGCTTTTACTTCCAGGCTCAGGTGATTCCTTCATCCTTTGGTTTTCCACCAGGGGGCGCCAGGAGGAGCAGGCAAGGCACATGGGTTGGCCACCACCCCCAATCAAGGGAGCAGAGATCCAAGACCTTGAGTGCCTGACTGGTGATAGAGGAGAAAAAGAGATGACAAAAGCCAAAACAGTCGTGCCTGTCTGGGCTGCCAGCCACAACCATGTGTGTTCATGGGAACGTCGTCAGAGTCAGAATGGCGCAGGCAAAGCCTGGTAAAGGGCCGCTTCCCCAGGCCTGCACTGTGATGATGAACCCGGAAGGTGCTCCCAGCCAGCCTCTCTGTGCAGGAACAGCATCCCTTCCAGGACCAGCTGCTCCTGGGGGAACTGCCAGGCTTTCCTCCATGGGTTTTTCTTCCTGAAAACAGCCCACACAAAGCCTGAGTGCCCGGGCTCCGTGGGTCCCTCTGGGCTCTGTCATTTGCTGCCTCTGTGTTCAGCACCATGGGATAATCCCACTGGCCCAGCCTCATCTGGCCCTCCTGAACCATACGGTCATCTGGGGTTGGGGGTCTAGTGCCTGATGCTGTGGAGAAAGATGAAAGATGTATAGCAAGGACCTCTGCCTGACCTTGAAGAACTTACAGATATTTCCAATTTGTTCTGGCAACACAGCTGTTTATAAAGTAAGCAGTTATCATAGTCTTTTGGCCGCAGAGGTCACTGAGCACACATGGCTGAAACCTCAGGCTCTGGGGCTGCAGAAACCTAAGAGGGTCCCAAAAATCAAAGTCATATGCCCAGGTCACAGGAGGAGCACATGGTTTACATTATAAACAGTAGTTTCTTGGTTGCAAGGTTAAGTAAATATCATTAGTCCATATTTGGTCCATTTTGTAAAAATCATTCCTACAGGTGTGTATTTGTGTGTGTGCAAGTGTGGGTGTACACTTCTATATGTATGTTTGTATACATTTTAATGCTCTAAAAATCTGTTCATGAACTCACCAAACCTGTTGAGACTTCCATCCCATTATAAGACCACATGAGGCCAAATGAACACTAAATCACATTCTAATTCCACAAAATTGGTAGGACAAGAGACTGTGTGCTCCTGAGATCATTCAGTCTAATGTGACCTCTTCGTTCTGAGGTTGAGAAGCTGGCAGAAGGGGAGCTGGGTTTCAAAACTCCTTCACCACAGAACAGAAGTAGGAATGGAAATCGGCTTCTGACTCTTGAGTCCTGTGCCAGTGCTGTTGGACCTGGCCAGCCCTCAGACACTTATTTTTGGTTGGCACCCAAGAGTTCACTCTTCCTATAAACACTACTTTCACAAGATTTTCTGGTTACCTGTTGACCTAACTCGGTTTATGTTGGGTAGCATGTCCTCTGAGGAAACTAGAACTGAACCAGAGACTCAGAGTTGGGGGGTTGGGGGTGGGAGGGGTGCAGGTCTAGAGATAGCTTTGAGAAATGTTGAGCAAGGAGGAGTAGCCACCATTTTGGAACTGATCACGCAGACCTCCTGTGGGTCATGCGCTGATGGTGTGTATCTCAAATATGGGTAAGAAAGAACCTGCAAGAGTTCATGTCTTTGTAAGTGACCCTCTAAACTTTGTTGGCAAGCCCAAATATTCTTACTCCCCAAACTGTAACTTAAGAGGAACATTGTGATGGTTCATCGGACCTTGGGGCTCTTGGATCCCAGAGAGCATGCATGGGTTTCTCAGAGGAAAATTTGGCACAACAGTTTGTTTCTGACACCATCTTGTTTTTTTTCTTCTGCTGTCTCCTGAATCTTTCTCCCCTACAGTTATCTTGTTTTGCAAGAGCCACAGCCTAATTGATGGACATCTTAAGACAAAGGACGGAAATAAAAGTCTAAGCACTGGGAAACTTCTTGTCATCCACAAAGCCCTGAATGGCAGCTCCTGATGTGATAGTGAGAGGTAATGATCAACTAGACCACAGACAACTGTCATGTACGTTTCTAACCCTTGCCTTTTGTCTGTCTCTCTTTCCTATGTAGCATTTAGCTACTTGGCAGACAGATTTTAGGTTAGTAGACCTCCAATCTTTTGAGATCACAGTGTTGATGTTCCCACTTTCATCAACACCTGTCTTTTAGCTTCTCAGATTGGGTAGCTGAGCCCAGAGCAGCCTGAGACTCCTGGTATCGGGGATTTTACCCTAACTTTTATCTCAAGGGGAGAACTGACAACCCAACCAGGGAAGTGAAGAGTCTTTCTGAGGTCTGGGAAAGCCAGGTGAGGGGGAGGGGAAGCACAAGGGAACTATGCACCATGAGGTACCTGAATGAGGGCTCTTGGCTTGTGACTATACAACTGAATGCAATGGGTTTGCATCATGATGAGCACAAAGCCAAAAGCCAGAAAATACTGGTTGAGAAACATTTTTAATCTGCTCCTAGCAAGTGATGCACGGGAATGATTTCAAAATCAATGCCTTCTTCAGATGAAAAGTATGGGGGTTTAATTCAGGTGGGTCTATGCATGTTTTTAAAAATATTTTGTTATTTTTTAATTTAGTGTGGATGAGTGTATTGCCTGAATATGTATAAGTGCACCTGTGTCTTGCAATGCCTTTGAAGTCAGAAGAGGGCATTGGATCCCCTGTAACTGGAATTAAAAGTGGTTGTTACCTGCCAAGTGGGTGCTTGGAACCAAACCCCATCATCTGCAAGAGCAGTCATTGCTCTTAACCGCTGAGCCAGTTCTCCAGCTCTGTATGCATGTTCACATAGGAAAGCTCTTTATTAGATGTAGACACATTATTCAGCATGCTCAGCAACAAATTTCTGAGCATGCTCAGTTTATGGTCATAGTTCAAGGAGGGAAAATGGAAGACACAGTTTTGGTTATGTGTATCTCAGGTTCACAGAGCACATGTTTACAAGGTCAAAATGATAGACAGGGACATTTGGACATGCTAAGATTGCCTCATAAAGATGGCAGACAGGAAGGCCCCAGGGTATAGTCTGTTTCCTCCAAATAGTTTTAACCTAAAAGAAATAGAACAGGCACATTAAGGATGTACTTAATATAAGAGTTTGCCCCCTGAAGGTGTCTCCTAGTAGCAAATAAATTGAGTATAGAAGGCTAAGAAAGTGGATGTGATGCGGACATTTATAACTAGAAAGCAAGGAAACTAAGAACCATTTTCTGTGAGGCTCAGGAAGGGCCTCTCACAGGAGATTTCCTGCCTTGGGCTCCAGACCTTGACTTTCTTCCTATGGAAAGGTGGTGTTTTCTGGGGACTTGCACATTGGGTGTAGTTCAGAGGCAAATGGTGCCTGCTCCCTTCCCTGGCATTGCCCAGCTCTCTGAGCTTGTTGAGCTGGGAACAAATATGCTCTTTCCTCGAACCACACACTTCAAATGCCTTTGAGAGAGAGGGACACTGCAGTTGGGGCAGAGCGGAAGAGAGGGGCATGGAAGCTGGGAATGACACTGGAGCGAGGGGAGGCAAGAGCAATGACAGGCTGTGTCAAAGGAACAAGCCCTTAGCACAGGGTTTAATGTGGCACTAAGATTGCTGGCCGCCCCAGGCCAAGGTCGCCCTGACATGGCTATTCAGAGAAGTTCAGTGTGGTCTAAAGCAAGACTCCTCTGGAGAGAAGGATTTCAAAGTGTGAAACAGACTAAAAGGATAGCATAATCCACTCTCTTCTCTTCTTTAATCCCAACCAAAAAGCACAGTATGCACTATTGAAAAATCACATTTTAGAATCAGCACATACTTTCTGTCAGCTGCCAGGATTTCTGATGAGGCTGATAGAAACACGGGACAATGAGTAGATGGGAGTCCTCACACGTCAGTTCAGGCAAGATAATGATAATATTGCTGGAGGCACTGTGCTGCAAATACAGCCTCTATTTTCTCTCTGCCACCCTTTCCCCATATGCAGCTTTACCCCTTCCCCCTCTTCTTTCTTTACTCAATATGCCTTCCTTCTTGTGTTTCTTTTCTTTCGTTTTCCCACATCTCTCATTTCTGTCCATACTTTAGCGTCCTGCTCTGTTTGCAGGAACTCACGGTACACAGTGAGGAATTCCTATTGACTCAAGACCAGAGGCTGCTGTGAAGCCATTGAGACCAGAGGCTGACTGGCCAAAACCAAGACAAAAGGGAATCTTTGCGTCCTTCCCGAGCAGATGATTTCTATGTAAAGGGTCCTCTCCTACCTGTCAGCAAGAATCCATCATCCCAGTCAGAGAACATCTTTACCTTTCCTTATGCTCAACCTCCTCAAAAGGACTAAGGACAGACAGCAGTGTGACTGTCTTATTCCTGCCAAAGATAATCCAGGTAGAAAGGGTCCAAGATATTAAAAGTCCAGGATTATTTTGCATCATGCAGAATACTTAATGATACCTAACAGATTCATAAAATAATGAAAATTTAATTTTAGAGTATAAAATCAAAGAATTGGAATGAATTTGAATTTCAAGATCCTAGAGAGCTGCCCTTGGGCTTCTCAAATCATCCATCCATTTGTTTTTGTCTACTGCTGTTCATTTTGCCCCTGGTGTGTGCCAGGGAATCAGCTGTTAACTAAGGCATAAAGATAGAAAGCTATGATTCCTGCCTTTTGGGTTCTTAAATGCACCCCAAGACAAATTTGTATCAGACTTAAACAGGTCATAAGTGAAAGAAGTTTTTGTCCCCTTTTACTATGTAGTTACCTTTTTTTATTATTATAAAGTGGAACAAAACAGATTCCTGCACAGTGAGTCATTATTCCATTGACTCTTCAGGTGTCCAGCCATTGACTCACCTATCTCTGTAGTTGTCCGCTGACTTAAGACATATGAGGACCATGTCACAGGTTCAAATGAACAAAGAGGGACAAAACAGTGGGCGCTTAACTTTATTACTAATTGAAAGCATCATATATGTTTTCTTTTGCTCAGTCTTTGTGCTCAATCTACTCTTTCTTCATAAAATAGCAGACCACAAGGCCAAACTGTTTACAGACTAGTAACCTTTGTGACTAGAAAAGCTAAAGTCAACGGGGTTCGAATTGGTCACACAAATAATAAACACAGATAAAGGAGTATTAGTAATGAGAAAAAATCCTAGCCCATAAAATGCATTTGATAAATCCCCTTACCCCTGAATGCTCATGTCCATCTCATAATGCAAAGTGCTTTTAGTCCATTTATGAGTGTCCCTAAGTCTGACAATCTGTCCAAGCAGAATTTTAGTCCCTTCATAATAAATTTCTCCCTGGGTATTGCTTGGGATGCTATTCCAACCCATGAAGGATGCAGGGAAGTCTGGAGTTGTTCAGAAAGTTTCCTTTACTGTACCTCCAAATGTCAAGCCCTTTTCTAATCTGAATTTTTGATCTCACTATTTAGACTATCTTTTGTTGAGAGATAGATGCCTGGAGCTATTGTAGCTTCTTTGTAACCATGAGGGATGACAGCCCTGATGAAGAAAGCATCATCTTCTGAAGTGGAAATAAAGACTCCTCTTATATATTACTTATCCCTGAGAAGAAAACAGCCCCTGACTTCTTGTTAATGTATAGTGTTTGAATGAACACCCCCAGAGCCTCATGGGTTTAAACAATTGGTGTCCAACTGGCAGCTGCTTGAGAAGGTTGTGGGACCTTTAGAAGGTACAGCTTGTTGGAGGAAGGGATCACTAGGGCCAGACCTTGAGGTTTTAATAATCTGACCCACTACCTGGTCTCTCTCTGCTCCCTGAATTCTGATACAATGTGGCCAACATGTATCTTGCTACATGCTCTTGCCACATGTCTTTGCTATCTATAATAGAATATATCCTCTCAAATTGTAAGACAAAATAAACCCTTCCTTCAGTCTTCGCTCAAATAACATCGCAACTTCTTTTTTTTTTTAAGCTCCTTTGCAGAGGTCAATGACAGTCACTAATCAGTCAGCCTGGATCAAGGAGAAGTTATGAGTGAAGGCATAGGGAATTCTGGAACATTATTAACACATCCTTGAGTGACCTCAGCTCTGTAGCAGTTTCCTGATTCCTAATGCCATACCCAATACTCTTTCCCTCCTCAGGCCAATCCCTGACTACAGACCCCCAGCTGTAAGAGCTGTGATCCTTTCCCGTTCTAGGTCCCTTTGCATGGATTGTAGTCCTGTGATTGGGTGTCCCCTGCCTCGCCCAAACTATTTGTAGGTCTAGTGCACCTGATGACACAAACACATCTCTCCAACATCCTTTTCTTGCCTGGAAACACATTCCATGGCTCTTTCTGAAATTCCTAATTCCTAATATGTGTAACTGTATTTCTTTCTTTAAAAAAGTTCCATTGAGACTTCCTAACTAATATTTGCTGCATAGTTTCCTCATGTGAAGCAATTCTAATGATGTGTGGGGAAGAAGATTACACCATGGTTTGGTGCCCTGCCCCAAAGGGATTCAAATACCCTCAGGACCACAGAGACATAGATATCTGATGGAACAGAAAATATTCTGAAGTGGCTTCTTTTTTCTTAATGAGTTTCTGGAATTTCCAACCTAAAATTCATGATTCTCTCTGCCAGGCAGAGAGAACAAAGGATCTTCTACTTCTGCTCATGTAGCATCTCATCCTCCAGATGCAGCGTGTTTTGTAGCCTCCAATGTCTGCCTTCCTATCCTCAAGTGATGGCCAGCAGAGACATTCTCAACAGAATTTGATTTGCTGTATGCCCCAGATGATGTTTACAATCTCTGGAGACGTTTTGGTTGTCACAACCAGAGGAGAGGAGGTGGGAAGTACTACAGAATGTGCATAGAGCCCAGGGATGTCTCTAGATACCCTACAGTAGTCAAGACAACCCCCATACAAAGACTGGGCAGTCATGCTGAGGTTGAGTTCTTTGCCATACAATTCTGCAGATTTGCCATGAGTTAACCATTTAGTTAATTTGTGGCAAATGTTGAAGTAGAATCTAGTTCTCTTGACATTCAGAGTAATTTATTTCTAATATAACAAACATTAATTCACAGCCTGTTTAGTAACTTATGTACATTTTATATACATAATTTTGAGGTTGTGAATAGCAGAGTTGTTATGGTACTTTTAACTACAATGAATTGCAAGTCATAACATAGTGTCATTGGATACCTTAACAGATTAAATAGCAGTGATAGATGCATTTGGTGTCACTCAGGTTTTTCCAGTTTCCTCCTTGGAGCTTGTTTGATTAGAATGAGTTGTTATGATGTGATTCACTAGAGAAGACCATTCAGACAGAAAATCGCCAAAAAGGAAAGTCTTTATTAGCTGGGCCTGTGACTATACAGGTCATTCAGGTCCCAAGTGCAGCTCTCTATTAATTTAAGGCCAGCCTGGTCTATGTAATGAGTTCCAGGCCAGCTAGGGCTGCATAGAGACTCTGTAGTAAGGGCTATGTTTGAGACTGTCTCAAAACAAAACAAACAAACAAAAACAAAACAAAAAAGCCCCAAAAAACAAAAAAGAAAAAAGAAAGGAAGGAAAGAAAGAAAGGAAATTTAAATAAGAGAAATGTGGCAAATCTTAATTATCAGACGCTATTTTGGGCAGTTTAAAGAGAAGTACTAAAGAAATCGGCCTGTCCAATCAAGCAGATACCTAGATTAAAAATTGGAAAAGCAGAGTATTCAGGCAGATATTAAACTTGGCAAAGGGTGGGGATTAATCAATATCCATGGAATCGACAACATAGAAATTCACGAGAAGTACTGCTCTTCATTTGGTTTAAGTTGCAAATCTAGGCCATTTTTGTCATCAGTCCAAAAGTTCTGCAGACATAGACTCGCTTGCACATTCCAGATGGTTGTTCACAGAAGCTTCTGCTGCCTTTTGGAGCACACTAGCTTTAGAGAAAGACTGGGAAACCAATGACATCACTCCTTGGTGATAAACCACAGGCATCTCTTATGAAGGGCAGCGCTCAGGGCTGTGTATGGCCCATCAACTTTCAGATTGCCTTTAGTGGGTTGAGTCGCTCCTTTTTCAACAGGAAGTGGAAGTTGTAGAAGCACCCGTATATGCAGCACTGTATATGCAGATAGATATGTGTCACCTTCACTGTGGATTCCAAGTCTGTGAGGGTGACATTTCATTTCTCAATTGTGTTACTCCTTCCACAGGCAGCAACTTTAACACGAACTTCTACACTTCCTTTACTACTGGTAATGCTCTTAAAATGTCCAACATAGTATCATGACTTTCCGCACCCTTCAAATCATTAGCTTAGTTTTCTCCTATTGTTAAAATCTCATGGCCTGGGCTACAGAGATGGCTCAGTGGTTAAGAGTACTTGCTGCTCTTGCAGACAACCCAGTTTCAGTTCCCAGCACCCATATTGGGTGGCTTATAGCCACCTGTAACTCCAGTTCCAGGAGTTCTGATGCCCTCTTCTGGCCTCCAAGGGCACCTGCATGTACACAGTGCACATGTGTACACACATACACATCAAATAAAAATGAGTAAATCTTGAAATAATTCTCATATGTGGGCTGGTGAGATGGCTCAGTAGTTAAGAGCACTGACTGCTCTTGCAGAGGACCCAGGTTCGATTCCCAGCACCCACATGGTGGCTACAAACCAACCTTAACTCCAGTTCCAGGGGAATCCGAAGCCCTCTTCTGACCTCCATGGCATTGCATGACACGGGTGTACCTACATACATGCAGGCAATACACTCATACACATAAAATAAAAATAATAAATTAAAATTCTCATGTTATTTCACTCTCTGAACTTTTGATTTTTACATTTCTGTAGGAATGAAGTAAAAAACAACTGAATGGAGAACTCTTTGATTCTTGTACAAACACACAGAAGGCATTGATGTGAGTATAGGACACTTTACTTGGATTCATTTTCAGGTGTTTTTTCTAGTAACCTAGGTGAAGAGTGTGAGGTTGGGTAAAAATGATTGCTGCACTGGCTTGATGCCCCGAGTTTGATGCCGGAAATCCACTTAAAATAACTGCGCATGGTGATATGCATCTGTATTCCTGGCCCTCCAGTGGGCCTGAATGAGCTAACTGGTCAGCTAGCCTGGAGCATGCAGTGCAGGCAGAAACGAGAAGGTGAAACAGAGAACTAAGACCTGAAAGATGTCTGCTGACCACTATGTATGCACCACGGCAAGGGTGCACGTTGTGTGTGTGTGCACACATACTAATAAATAAATAAGTAAATAAGTGACTTACCAGCTTCACAAAAGCCAGGATCAACAGGTGGATACATCTCTGAATTGTTGCAAAATTCAGAATATTGTCTTTCATGGGCTTGCTGCCCATGCTTGTCTTATTTCAGTGAAGATATCCTCTACTGCTCAGCATTTTCTCATACTCAGAGGAGACCCCCTCTGGCTGCCAGGCATCAAAAACTTCTTCACTGTGGGCAGGTTACTAATTCTGGTTCTTAAGGTCAGCCATGCAAAAATTAGTCTCAAAGTGCAGACAAAGAGGAATCTAGCTATGACCACAATTTGGGAACTTTGAACTCCTCCTAGACAAAGGCTGAGTTGCTCCATCAACCCCAGGATGACAGCTGGGAACAGACACCCAGTGATGAGAAGAGGTAGAGAACATGGCTCACTAGAAATCTGCACAAAGATATCTGTAAGATTTTGTTTTATAATGTCCAGCCGTCCTTATCTTCTGCCTTATAATTAAATCTGCAGACTCATGGCTCTTGTGCAGTGCAAGGCAGAACAAGGTGTCCGTCATAAGCCACCATAGAGAATGCACCAATGAGGTGAAATAAAGGCATGAAATATTGATTAGCAATGAAGATGCCCTGGAGCAGACCTCAGTCAATTTACACATTGAAAAATAAGGTTGACGGTTATAGGGGGTTGATGATGTGTATGTGAGAGAACATTATGGTGTCTCACAGTAGGAGTGAGATCTGAGCTGAAGAGAATCAATGGACAGATATCTGCTCATATAGACTCAGTGTGCAAAGATAAGGGAATACCAGGGGTAAAGAAAATCTGGGAGAGGTCAGGAGTAGAGACTACCTAGAACTGAGGTCTAGAGAAATATGCTGGGCACTGAGTTCTTCCCATTATAAAAGACAAACATTCTCAGGGTGGCATATACAATCAGCTTTCCTTGCATCAAAAGGTTCTCATCATGCCTCATAATCAGAACCTACAAGGTTATTTAGGACTCATGTATGAGGTTGACTATGAAGGCCTGCAGAGGTTATGAGATAGAATGTCTGTGGGAATGACTTTCACTAAGGGACATAATCTGAACTAATAGCTTTTAATTAGCTAAAATCCAACTAAAACCATGCGTTCTTGGATCTGATGACTGGGGCACCCCTTTGGCAACCTCAGTTTGGAACTCTACCCAAAAAGATAATGAATGAATGTTGATATGCTTCAGAGTTAACATACCACAATGCTGCAAGCAGTGTACCCACTCACTTCCAGACACAGTGAAGATGGGGAAAGGATACATGGCCTTGGATGAATGAGATGCTAGGTATGAGAGGCCAGATGATCTGTGAGGATTAAGGGAGGAGCTGAACTTGAACTTGTACTTCATCAATGAAGCTGTCGAAACCATTTTGAATAAATTATGGGTGTGGCATGACACAGTGGGGGGAAACAGAATTCCAGAGAGAGAGTTCCTTGGGCACAGGGTGAAGACACAGACAGCTCTATCTGCACAGGTTGAGCGGATAAGAGAGAGATCCATCCGAACAGTTCTGGGAGATGGACAGCTCTAGTAGATAGCTAAGGGAATTGGTGTCCTCCAAGTTCGGACCCACTCTTAAAACCTCATGAGTCAGTCTCTTTGTTCAGGTGATTATGATGTTGGCATAATAATAATTGCTGCAAATATCACCATTAAGGGTTTGATACAGAATTCCACGATGGGAGGAAAGGTGAAGCTCCCTCTCTGAGGGTTTGAAATCCATCACCTTCAGCAGAGGGAAACAACCACTCTGCCAATGCCTCCTGCCTCAGATTCTATAATTTGAAAACAGGAAATATACCATCAGATGGTGGTAAAGGGCAAGACCTCCAGCTTATCCTTTTTTTTTTTTCAGGTCATAAATTTTACTTGTAGCTCTTATGCAACATTTTTTTATCCATCACCTTCAGCAGAGGGAAACAACCACTCTGCCAATGCCTCCTGCCTCAGATTCTATAATTTGAAAACAGGAAATATACCATCAGATGGTGGTAAAGGGCAAGACCTCCAGCTTATCCTTTTTTTTTTTTTCAGGTCATAAATTTTACTTGTAGCTCTTATGCAACATTTTTTTTACTTATATATCAGCCTGCTTATTTATTGGCTGTAAGTATATTCATTTACTCAACCCAAAACTAAATGCAGATATAGAACACCTCAGTGACTGCCTATAGTCACAGTATGAGAGAACTTGGTGGGATCATTACATATGACCTCTGATACTACAAATAGAGTTGTCTGTGAGCTGTTCTGTGAATACACAACGTGTGACTCTTATGGTTAAAACTTTGCCTGTTAGGGAGCTTCAAGGTGGAGTTCCTGACACAGCCTCTCACACATGTTCCTGTTAATCCTGTTGTTCAGTCCAGGCTAGTTTTCATGCCCAGTGTTAGAAGCTCTCCCAACTATGTGTCACAGAACATGCTTTCACAGTACTGTCTATGTGCTGGTGCATACTTCTAGCCATATTTTCATTTCTTGCATTCCCATCTGAAATGGGCCCTCACTTAGTACAACTTGTTATAGGTTTACAAGTGTCTATTATAGAAACTCTTCCTTTCTGTTTCTAACTGGGCTTTCTATGACACTTTACAAATAACAGCACTATTAACATATATTGAAACACAATAATTCTCAACTGTGGACAGTAATATTTAACATCCACAAAATTTTTCAGATTTTCTAATTTCAGAATGTATTCATCACTCTGTATACAAAAACAAAACCAACCAACCCACCAATCAAACAAACAAAAACAAACCAGGCAACCAAACAACTAACTAAACAAAAATCATTGGGAGTCGCTCCCCATCTACTCCCTCCAGTCATAGTGAACCACTGATCTGCAGTCTCTTTCTGAGGATTTGGATGATGATGGCACTTTAATGCAAAAGATCATAACAGATATGGTGTCATTTATCCTATTTATTTATGTAGCAAAGTTTTTTCAAGATTCAACCACATAGCATGCATCAATAATTCATCTTTTTTTTGCAGATATTTCATTATATGATTGTAGCACATTTTGTCCATCTTATGATCTGTTATGAGGAATTGACTTTTTCCCCTTTTCATATTGCAGATCATGATTTGAATGCAAATATTAAAAAGTATGTATTTTTTGTTTCTCTTTCTTTGGTATATATAGTGGTAGACTTGCTGGCTTATTTAACTTTTACAGGATCAAGTTTCTTAGCAGTTTTAATTTTCAATCTAGCAGTTCATCACAGTACGGCGTGATCATAGGCTTTGATATTACTGGGTTATTCCTGCATGGAATTACTCAGACAGATACAAATCTTGGGCCACCAATGGTTGTTCAGCCATCTATGCATACAATTAGTTGAACAAGTAAGTGTCTGATAATCATTTTTAAAGCCTCTAGAACATGAAAATCAGCTCTTTGACTCTTTGCAGGGTCCATCTCTAGACATTTCAACATTTCTCACATTTCTTGAGCTGGGGTTCAGTCTCTAAAGACTGATTCTTTTGAATCATAATTCTACCGTTCACTGATACATGGTTTATCAGTGTTTTGAAATCACTGTCACTTTCCTGTGTCTTGTTCAATAGTACAACACTTACCTGAATCTACTTGAAGTTTATTCTCCCCTCCTCTCTATGCTTGATTTGTACATAAATACCCAAGGCCCAAACTTGCTGTATTTTGCTCACTGAAGAAAAGATCTGCATTGTTTCTCTGTTATCTATAGATAAGAACAGAAAAGAAGCCAGGTGTGATGACACACACCAGTGATCCCAGCACTTGGGAGGTGGAAGTAGGAAGATCAGGAATTCAAGACCGTTTTTAACTACATGGCAAGTTTGAGGCTAGTCTTGGATACATGAGACACTGTCTTAAACATTAAAAATAGATAGGTGTGGTGGTGCACACCTTTAATTCCTGTACTTTGGAGTCAGAGACAGGCAGATCTCTGTGAGTTTGAGGCCAGCCTGCTCTATGTAGTGAGTTTCAGGCCAGCCAGGGCTACATAGTGAGGTCCTGTCTCAATAATAATTAATAAATAAATAAAAATGTAAGGAGCATAAAACATACTGTGTAGGGCTCTCTCTGTTTCTTCTCTATAGAGCTTGTATTTGGTGGCAATGTAGGTGAAAAGGAACTCTGGTCTCCACTGGTGTCATGTCATCAATCCCCCACCACAGGCATTTTCCAGAACATTTAACTCTCATCTTTTGGGAGAATATGTAAAAAGAGACAATGAAGTATCTATGGGTGCTATCTATAGGTGAAAAAAATTATTTAAATGACTGAAGAAATGAAAAGAGAAACAGTTAAAACCTTAGTATTCTTTCAAGTAAAATAGCATTTTATTTTTCCTTTCTATAATTCTTCTTGTCTTACAAGTCTTATTTTTACTTTTAAGCATATTGCATCTCTCTCTCCATCCCTCTCTTGCTCTCACTGTTTTTTAAGAAGTTTTTAAAAAAATTATATATGTGTGCCTGTGCCTGTGTGTGTGTGTGTGTGTGTGTGTGTGTGTGTGTCTGTGTCTGTGTCTGTGTGTCTGTGTGGGGATATGTCCACATGAGTGCAGGCATCCATAGAAGTCAGACGAGGGCATGAAGTCCCCTTGAGCTATAGTTACAGGTGATTGTAAGTCACAATTTAGGTATTGGGAACCAAATTTGGGTCCTCTAGAAAAGCAGCAAGTGCTCTTAACTACTGAGCTATCTCTCCAGCCCCTCTCCCATTGCTTTGAGACATTTTCCTATGCACCCCAGACTGGCCTTAAACTCACAGCATTCTCCTGCCTCAGTCAGAGTGCTGGGGTTACATGCATATACTCCATGACTGGCACTGGTGCCTTTATTTCTCATAAGGGCAAGTATGTCTTTTGTATTTTGGCTCACATATTCGTGGCTATTACAGGAAGAAGTTGGATGGGCTGCAGCAGGGCCAACAAGCCAGATACCACTTCAATTGGGAAGACCTCAAGGAAAATGTTATGATGTTCATAACTTAAGGTAAATTCTCAGAGAGATTTCTGTGTGGCAGTCCCTTTCTGTGTTCTTCTGGGCCTGCAGTATTGCTAGGATACTACTTTGTCATGAACCATAAATCATAAAGCTGAAAGTACTTACCAAGGCTATCGCTTTTTCTTTTATCTGACACATGTCCCTGTGAATCCTTGGCCAGTGGGACACTGAGATTCTGAGTTCCCTGGACTGATGTAGAAAGCATGAGAAAGTAAGCCAAGAGCGTTCACAGGATGATGGGTTAGGGATGGTTCCTAAGCAAATACTCACACACTTAGTGTTTTTTTTTTAACTGAGAGAGTTGCCAGATCTGCTCAATGAACCCCCATCTCCTACTGTTTGTAGGAAATCAGGGTGTGAGGCCCTAGGGTGAGATGAGCCTAAAACTTTTAAGTCTAGGCTGCTTTCTCTGCTAAAGGGAGAGGCACTGAAAACAGTAGCTCTGATAATCCCTGTCTTGCAGAACACCGAGAGATTGGCAGGAGACAGCAGCCTGGTCATAAGTGCAGGCTCCCTGCTCTGTGGGAAAGCATCTTGGTCAACAACCCTTAGCTCATCTCCTTGTCCTGAACAAATAACTCAGCTATCCTTGGCTAAGAGATTAGGCCAGGTTAAAGGTTTACTCCTGAGCTAAAAGCTAAAAGTTTACCATGCTTTTAGCTCTAAGGAAGAAAACATTGTGGCCAATGAATTACTGGATGGGCATTGATAACCTTGAGTAAAAGTTTAAGACTCTTTCTGATGCCAACTAACAGACTAAATGTCCTGTTTCTTTGTATCCTAAATCTTTGTATGTGACTGCCATATTCCATGTGACTGCTAGTTCCTTGGGATGTATAAAAACCATCTGAATTAAAAAATAAATGGCTTGTTGAAAAAACACAGGTCCCAGGGTCCAAGACTCTGTTGCCGATCAAGTCTCTCTGTCCTGAAGCCAGTAGGTCCCCCAGCTAAGCAAAGCAAACCTGAGTCCCGACAATAGTTTATCACCCCTACCTCTCCACCATCCCCAGCCACCACCCTACCAATACCTTGGGATTATCTGGTGTCAAAACCTCCACTCAGACCATCTACAGGACACCTCAGAGGCACTGGCAACTTTGTATCCTCAGCTTTCTACAATTTTCCCTTAAAACCCGGAGCAAAAATAGAATTCCCCAGGACTTTGAAATTTGTTTGGTATATGACATGGTCAAGTAAATTTTCTGTGTTTTTCAGGAAAACAAGATCAGATGATGGCCATTGAAAATTTATAATTAATTTCTGGAAAAAAATGGTATGGATCATATCACATAGATGTACATTACTGCAGCTTACTTCACCTACACCATGACCCCACTTAGGTTCATGATTAAGTCATCATTTAGGAGTGGGTGTCACTGGAGAGAGGGGACCACAACGTTGTGGTTATGGTATAGCAGTATCTCAGGAAATGGCTATGTGTTTTTCTTTTCCTGTGAAATTAGACCACAGCTGGGTGTATTTGTTAATTTTCTGTTGCTGTGATAAAACACCATGACCAAGGCAACTTACAGAAAGAAGAGTTTATTTGGTTTATGGTTTCAGCGGTAAAGGTCCATAATGGTGGGGGAGGCATGGCAAAAGGACACGGACAGAGAGGACAACTGAGAAATCACATCTTCAAGCAGGCACAGGAAGCAGAGTGACCACCCCCAGTGTTGTGTTTCTTCCAGCAAGGCCACACCTCCTAAAACCTCCTGAAACAGCACCACCAACTAGGGACAAAATGTCCAAATACATACACAACAAGTTCTAGGCCAACCAGTGCTATAGAGTGCTTCAAAGCCAGTGCTGGCTTAGAAGTTTTGGTTCCAGATGGGGGAGTGCTTCTGCCAGGAGACACAACAAACATTCCATTGAACTGGAAGCGAGGGTTTCCCCCTGGCCACTTTGGGCTTCTAATGCCCATAAGTCAACAGGCTAAGAAAGTAATAACAGTGCTAGGAGGGGTGATTGATCCAGACTATCAGGGGAAAATTGAACTCTTTCTTCACAGTGCAGGGTCTCCCTGTAGACCCAGCTGGCCTGGAACTCACAATGTAGACCAGGCTGGCCTTGAACTGGAAGAGATCTGCCTGCTTCTGCCTCCTAGTGCTAGGATTAAAGGCATGCACCATCACACCCAGGAGAGAAATCTTGATTGGATCATTTGAAGCTGGAAGACCCACCCTAAATGTGGGTCTTACCTTCCTTCTTGCTTTTTGCTGCTTGCCTTTCTCACTGGTGAGTTCCTCTTGCTGCTGTGACCAACATCTTGGGATTCCACCATAGACTGAAGACTAGCAGCTCTCCGGACTCAGCCTCGTGGACTGAGCAACTACCGGAGTCTTAGCCTCTCCAGTGTAGTGAAGCCATTGTTGGGCTCCTTGGACTCTATCCTGACGCACCACAGAAAGCCATGAGCGTTGCTCTCCTGGGTCAGGCATGGTGCCTCTAAGGAAGGTCCCGGGTGCGCTGGTTGGCTGGTTGAACCGCCCCCCGCCCCCATCGCCAAATGGAATGCACGTCTCGTAGACTCAGCAGGAGGAGCTGCTCAGTCTTTGACACCAGGAGGAGATGAATGCCAGGCACTTGGCTAAGAAAGAAGCCAAGGAGCACAAAAAGCTCAAGAGGATGGGCTAGAGTGAGGAGCACATGGGCTACACGAACACCGACAACCCGTTTGGGGACAACCACCTGCTGGGGACCTACATCTGAAACAAGGTGCTGGAGAAGAAGGGGATCAGCCACCTGGAAGAGAAGGCGTTGAAGGAGTGCAACAAGAGGATCCAGGAGGACAACGGCCTAGAGCTGCAGAAGGTGAAGCAGCTCCAGCTGGAGCGGGAGCCGGAGGAGCCTGAGAAGGCGAAGGCCTGGGAGCGGGCCCTGGAGCTGCTGCAGCGAGAGTAGGAGGTGGAGCATTTCAAGACCTGGGAGGAGCAGGAGGACAACTTCCACCTGCAGCAGGCCAAGCTGCGCTCAAAGATCCGCGTCTGCACATTTACCTGCTGGCCAAGTACATCATCAGTGCTGAGGATGACGACCTGGTGGTGGTGATGCACAAGCCTTACACCTTTCTCAATGGTCTCCTGGTGGCCGACATAGAGGACCTGCTGGAAGACAGTCAGGTGTACATAAAGCTGGAGCAGGGCTAGAACGTGGACTTCTGGCGGGACTTTGACGACCATCATGGAGGATGAGATCAACAATCCAAGAAAGCTCGGGGCCTCGAACAAAGGCCTAGGCAAGCACCATTAGGCAGTCAATGCTTCAGTCAGCTCCGACTTTGCAATCCGTGTTCAAGGGCCGAGATCCACCTGGGCAGCCCCAACCTAGACGTGGACTACCAGGAGAGTCTGCTGCAGCAGCTGCCTGTGCACATGGTCCGGTCCAGGCTCCGCCAGAGCCACCTGGAAGTGCTGTGGCTGAAGTTCTCCAAGGGGAGGCAGGAGCCGGGCATGGAGAGCGAGTGGCCCTTCCCCATCCTGCAGAGCCGGCCCACTGCCAGCAGCACAGAGCCTGAGGAGCAGGCGCCCAGCCCCGGAATGCCGTTCCTGCAGAGCTGGAGGGGGACCTGGCTGGGGAGGAGGCGGAGGCCCAGGTGGTGCTGATGGGGGAGAACCTGATCCACCAGAGCTTGGATGTTCTGCTGCTGTTCGTGGCTCACGAGCTAACGCTGAATGAGCAGGTACTGGAACCGCAGGAGGACTTGCAACCCCTGCAGCTGTCCTGCCAGCAGCTCCAGGTCACAAGCGACAAGAGCAAGAGCACCAAGAACATCTTCTTGAGCACACGCGAGTGCTTGGGGCAGGAGGAGGCGCAGTTCAGCGTGGAGATGCGGCAGGGCAGCTACGCTTACCTGTGGGATGGGGTGCAAGTCGCACTCCTTCAACCGTTAGCACACCCGCTTCGAGAGGAACAAGCACAACCACACGCCCTACGACTTTGATAATCAGCCACCCAGGATCATGGGCTACAAGTTCATCTTCTACCCTGACCTCATCCACAAGCGCGCCACACCTGAGTACTTCCTGGAGGCCCGCTCCGATAACCCAGACTTGGCCATCCTGCGGAGGACCTCACATCGCCTTCTAGACCTTCAGTTGCAAGTGGAATTACTCACACCACCACGGCTTGCGCTGCCAGTTTCACAACTGCATTTTCCAGCTCTGGTTCCACTTCAAGCGCTACTGCTACTGCCGCTGACCTGGGGTTTATCTGAGACCTTGAGGATTGTCCTTGACCTGCGGGGTGTTGTCCGCCGCTTGCGGGTTATCCACAATCTATGGGTTATCTGTGCCTGAAACCGACTGGGACCAGCAGAGCATCAACACTGCCAGTCAGCGTCCAGTCTTAGGGTGGCCGCCCCTACCTGAGTACCCCCTGCCCTCCTGGAGACAATAACTTAGCTCCTGCCCCAGTTCTCAGGTGGCAAGGGTCCAGGGCTGCCTGGTGGGTTGGTGATGTCACTGTCAGAGCCCCACCCACAGAAGCCCAGTGTCCCTTCGATGCTCCCCTAGTCACCAGAAACCTGGCCTACAGGGACCTGGAAACTTAAATCCAATAAAACCTGGGGAAAATCTAGATTTTAGTGGATTCCCTTCCCCTAATTTTGGATTGGTCAACTTAAACAAAGAAGAGAAGGCTGATAGGTCACTTCTCCAAGCCAAGGTCTCCAGGGCTGCATGACTCTAGCTCAGCTATAGGGGTCTTCCCCTGTCAGAGACCAAGAAGCAGCAGGAAGCATACGATCTTTATTACTTTTCAGTGACCCTGCTGCTTAGTAGGGATTTAAAATGTTCCTTACGGGTCCCAAGTCACCTGTGGTTTGTTGGTTCCTAATTCATGAATGGCTGCTCAAATAAACTCTTTACTATCATAACTGCCTACATTTGACATTCAAAGAGACTCCTGGTGTGTCATGGTTCAGATATGAAGTGATTCTCAGGATCATGTTTTGTAACCGACCAAGACTACGTTATTAAAAGGTGACTGGATGAGAGTTCTAACCTAGTCAATAGATAAACCCATGTATGGATTCAAAGCTTGAATATACTATATGGATGTCATGGGATCATGGAAGGTAGGTGGAGGAGGTGGGCTGCTGGGGAGCATGCCTTTGAGAGTACATCTTGTCCCTGGCCTCTTCATGGTACATCTGCTTTCCAGGTGCTCTGAGCTGATCTGCAGTCTTCACCATGCCCTCTCCACTGTGATATTCAGCCTCATTTCAGACCCAAAACAATGGCGCCAACTGACCAGTGAAGGAAGCTTATGAAACTGTGAGCCAAAATAGACATTTGTTACTTTGAATAATGACTAACGCATGGTGGGGAAAATGTTCCTGTCATTCTAAGGTGGAGGCTTGAACAATTAAAACATATTTTGAATATGTAATTTTTGTCTTATATTATACTGGGAAAGTAAGGCATATAATGAATGGTTCTATAGCTTTCTAGTCTCTCAGGACAAAATTCAACCTTGTTTCTGTGGCCTTCAAGGTCCTTTGCCCAGCTCTGGGCCCTGCTCCCTGATGGTAATTCACTGCCACTCCTCTCTCCCTCATGCTTTAGTGTTCCACCAAGAGCAAGTGTGTTATCTCCACTCACAACGTGATACTCAGCCCATCTCTCCTTACACACTGACCATGCAGATTTCTAACTGGATTCTACTTGTCCAGTGGTGGTTCCACTCCTTCTTTAACGGTAACTCGTATCTCTCACCTCAGAAGTAAATCTCCTTGAGAAACCACTTGTGATGATTTGTCTTTATTATCAATTTTATGGGACTTACAGTAACCTAGGAGACCAACCACTGGGTATGTGTGTGAGGACATCTCCAGAGAGGTTTAACCTAGGGAAGACCTACTCTAAAAGCAGGGAGCATCATGTCATGGACGGAGGTACCAGACTGAATAAAAAGAAAATGCAAGCTGAGCACCAGCATTCATCTCTGTCTGCTTCTTGACTGTGGATGAAGATGACCAGCTGCCTCACAGCCCTGATGCCACAGCTAGAGCTGCTCTCACACCTGCTGTCCCTGCCATAATGGACTGGACTCAAAGGTAATTAACCCATCCTTCCTTGTTTTTTGTTTTTCTTATAGCAACAAGAAAAGTGATTAATATACCATGTCTCATCCAGAGTCCAGCAAAGGTATCCTGATCAGATGTGTACCCAGAATTAACTGTTCCCTATCGTGGCTTGTCTAGTAATTTCTTTTCTGCAGGATGTCTTGCCCTGGTTGTAGATACCTGGCAATGTGACCTCATCTGGAAAGATGGTCTCTGCAGATACAACCAAGTTGAAGTCATGGTAGATTGGATTGGGGTTGCCCATAATCTGATGTTTGGTGTCCTTATAAGAAAGAAATCTGAATACATACATACACAGAGAGAGGATTCCATGCAACTATGGAGGCAGATATTTGGGTATTGTTTCACCAAATCAAGATACTACCATATGACTGGCCACCACCAGATGCTAGGAAGAGGCTAAGAAAGATCCTTTCTCAAAGCTTTTACAGAGAAGTTAGTGGAGATCAGACCTAGATTCTATTTTAGACATATACCCCCAGAACTATGAAAGAAAAAATGCCTACTATTTTAAGGCACAAAGCTTGTGGTACATTGTTATAGAAGCCTTAGAATTGGGACACATATGGACTATCTAATTATGTATTAGGGTTACCTATACTGTGTTTTAAACATTTTA